TTATGTTTTTTATTTAAAAAACTTTTTTTTTTTTATTTTTATTTATTTTCTTTTAGATCAAAGACCACAGCAGTCAGCAATTAAACTCAAGTTATTAGTATTACATGTTTCTTTATAAATAGTACGATAGGCATAAGTATCTGATATGTTACGTTATATATATATATATATATATATATATATATATTATGTGAGAAAAGCAAATAAATCCAGTGAAAATATCTTTAATTTTTTTGAAAATATATATGTATATTTTTTTTAATGCATTCAATCTACTGTCGGCATTAAAGGCTCTTAATAAATTCAGTTTATGTAAGGAGGAGGGACTTTTCTTTTCTTCGTCATTCACAATTAACTTTGAACGCTTTTCTATTTCGAAAAAAAGAAAAACACACACATAAAAACACTATGGCCGGGCAAGGTCGATCTTTGAACAACCTATACCGTTTTGTAACGATTTTTTTTTAACGTGTCATTGCACAGTAAGCGATCGTAAAAATGGCTCGATTCTATATGCATTTTCACTAGGATTCATCTTCGGGCCCAAACATGTCTGTTGTATAAAATTTCACCTCCTCAACATCTCAAAATTTGTCTTCTACAGGTTAAATACAGAAGTATATAGGCAAATAATAGACGGACAGACAAACAGACAGACTGAACTTGAATTTTTTATTGTTTTTTTTTTTGTACGCAATTACGAGAAAAGCGTCTTGCTTCGGTTGAAAGATCTTTCGTTCCCTTCGTAATAGCGAGAAAGAAGAACCGCCCGTTCACCTGTCCCTTATTACAAAATTTCCCACTATAGCCCAATAATGAGAACCTGTAGTTTTTGGTTAATCAAGTTTGTCCAATATTAGCCAGAATTGCAACTAACTTTTTAGCTATCGATCTAAAATTTATTGAGAAAAATGTTTCCCGACAAATCTGTCCCGTCATCGACTAAGAAAACAATTTGCTCTTTTTGTTAGAACCCTGGCATTTTTTTAGAACCCTGTCTTCCGTTGAAAATTCATCGAAATTTATTTCTCTTACATGTTCAATAAATAAAATTGAACAAATAGTTGCCGCAACTCGATATCTGCTATAAATAGCGGCTTACAGACGAAAAGTCGGTTAAAAGTGTCACTTTTCTGAGAGTTTGTTGTTTAGTGAAAATTTGTCTTTGCAACAATTTCTGGAAACGTGAACGAGTCGACTAAGTCGACTCATTGTTTAACATTTGAGTGATTGAATGCGGAATGCGGTGGCGAATACGAAAATAAAAATATGTCTTAAGACTATTACTAACTAAGAGAATGTTCTTACATTTGATGATCATTGCATAAGTGACGGAACTATATTGATTACATCATTCCATCAATAAGCTCGCAATTAGATTTGGCTCTGTGATCGGTCATTATTCATAAAAGCAGACAATGGTTGTTCTTCTCACAATTATTTTGATTTCATATCAATTTTGGTATTCGGAAGGAAGCGTCGTAAGAAAGCGCTTCAATATCAGCTTTATTGTAAAACAAGATGGTTAAGCCCTGCATATATTGAAAACAGCGAAAATTAGCGAATTGAAGATAGCCCACTAAGATGAGTCGCATTTTTGGATACGCATGTCTTTGCTAAAAATGTCTGCACTAAGTTACGGTTTATCGCGAAGTAAAAAGCAAACAAGTAAGATAAGCCATCAAATTAAAAGATATTGGGAACCAAGCACTTATAAAACAATCTGAGCCTTTAATTGCAATCACAAAACCAAAAAAGCGAAGATATTGCGACCAAATCTTATGCATTCGTATCGAGGTGTAACAACGTACAGGGACATTACGTAACGCCAGCGTTTAAATACGTTTCGAAAAATGCTGAGACCTATCAGAAAAACCTAATTTTATTACTACGTCGAGGCCTATCACCGCCATATTCACTCCACTTATAATCTAACCATGTAAATGGTTTTAATATATGGCTTTTTTCTTGGAACGCTTTGCTATAAAAATCATTGTCTTTTGAAACATTTAGAGTAGCTTCGAGATGAATACTAGTTTGCTTATATTTTTCTAGATCTTTTGCAATATCAACAGAACTAGATTTGCGTTAATTTGTTACAATTCTGTAAGTTTATTTGGCCGGCCTGGTCTTTGCTGACCTATTTTCTACAGTCATCGTGTTATAGTAATTTTTATACCCGTCACCGAGGAATGGGAGATATATTCATGTTGCCAAAGGGCTTGCAACGACCAGAAGGAAACATCAAAGACCCTCCGAAGTGTATATATTTTTGATCAGCATCAAATTCTAAATCGATCCGTCTGTCCGTCTGTGTAATGCCTGTTGCAAACATTCTCCTGGCCGCAAAAAATAAAACTATCGACTTCAGATTTGGCAGAAACACTGGATGTTCTTGCACGCAGATCGGCATTGAAAATGGGCCAAATCGGTCGAAGGACACGTTCACAGCACCATGTAAACTAAGAACACCTCTGTTTCTCAACGGGAATGAAAAATTGATTTTGTGCTCATTACCCATAAATTGAACGCATATTCTATGGGTAATGTTGTAGTAGCTCTCTAGAAATTGAAAAAAGTTAGCGGCGCCTATTTAATTTTATAGTCGGTCATAAATTTTTTTTGTTTAAGACTCTTATAACAGGCAGTAGCAAGGTTCAAAAACCCCAAAAAGAATATAAATTCTTGGTCAGTTTCAAATTCAGAATATATCTACGCATGTCTGTCCGTCTGCACAACTGTATGGAATCTGTGCTGAACCTGTTATCGTTCGAAAAATATTAAAATATCGTCTGCAAGCTTGCAAGAGAATTTGAAAGGGACTCAAATTTTTCAAAGAACACGCTCACAACGCCCACTCGCCTATGTAGGAAAAACTGTGAACACTTTCGCTCTCCGTGCTTTTTGCTTGTTACTCATAAATTGCAACACATGCCCCGTATAAATGTCCAGTTCTATTTTGAAAGTGAAGAAAATCAGCCACGCCCACCCTATATTATAGAAAATGAAAATTTAGTCGTCTTCCTTTTTTTTACCTTCACGCTGATGGGTATAAAAGATTCGCGCAAATTTAATATAAACTAAAGGATATGCGTGTAATTATCTTGCCCTAACGTTCTTAAGCTTGTTTTTTTGATATTTTTTTATGAAGTATGCTATTTTTAAAGAATCATTTCCGAAGACCAAGTACATAAATGCTATTATTTATGCAAGCAAAGAGTTTTAGGAAAGCAGTTCCATACAACATGTTACGTTGAAGTGACAGGATAACATATTTATGCCACTTTTGGTTACGGTAAATACGGGGTTGGTCTAATACCCTCCTAAGGAAATTAAAAAACTATATAATGCAAATTATAAATCTCTACTACTTAAGGCGAACACATGTATCTTCCCTTACAACAGAATCGTTTATAGTAATTCTATCTATTTAAATAAATGTTTATGAATCCTTTTGGATTTTGAAAAGATCGGCAATCGGGGAGGATCTTTTACTTATGAAGTGAGGGCAACGATCAACCACTCAATACTCATATTCCTGTTTTAGCAAATGTCGATAGGAAACGAATTTTCTTATTTGGAAAGGCTCACTAATGGTAATAACAGCGAAATTGTATCAAAATTAAAGCCTTATCCCCATAGAGAGGGTGCGAGTAGCAGCTTTAATTAACGCAAAGTCAAAAACCTGCATTAAAACCTTAACAGTCACAAAGTAAGAGTTTGTTAATAGATTCGTTTCAATTTCCATAGATCCTAAGTTACAATAGCATAGCAGTGCGATAACATTTGTTTGCTTTGAAACAAAAAAAAAAAAAGGAAAATTCTTGAAACTTGCAAAAGAAATCATTTTAATTTTTTTTTAGATCCACCTAAGTGGCCCAGCACGCAAAGGACATCCACTAACATTAATGAAATAAAAAAAAAGTAATAAATGAATTGTCGTGGGTTCACATCACAAGTGCAGTAGAGTTTCTCTGCTCAAATTAATAATAATTTTTTTTTTTGATTATGAATTTATTTATTAAAAAATTAATGATATATGAAATAGTTTAGTTAATATAGTTAATAAGTTGAATAGTAAAATTTGAAATTTCGTTACACGTCATAGTATGAAGGTGCAGCAGATATCAAA